CCTTTCAGTTCTTTCCATGGCAGGAACTGAACGCTTCCATTCTGGGCCGGGGGCTTCCGCTTGAAGAAGCAAACAAAACCCCCACTCCACACAGTAATCCAACTTAGTCAGCATGCCTTGACCAGCGATACACACAGTGTGACCACGGATACCCCGGCGCAGGTCGCCCGCCTGCCTGTCACTCGCCGTGCCGTCATTTTGCATCTTCCTTGTCTCTACCAAATTTCAGGTGGGACAACTGCACTGCACTGTTCTCTTCTGAGCACAGTCAAACTTGCGACTCTAACCGTACCTTTTCCAGCTTTCTCTTTCTTTGCTACTTCAACTCCACCCAAAGCGTGGTTCAACATCACCATTCTTCCCATTCAAGAAATGAAGCTCCTGCTGCGTCGATATTCTATTATTACCCGGTGACAAGCACTCTCTAATCGCCCACGAGTACACGCGACAAGACAACCTATCCGACTCACACCACTTCATTAAACCCTGCATTCCGACTTTGAAACCATGGCGTCAGACTCTCCCCAAGCCGCCTCCCCGCGCAAGGCTGAGCCGGAACAAAGCACACCGGCCGATGATGCCTCCGACCTCAAGCAAGAGCCCACCGAGAACGAGAACGACTCGAAATCGACTTCACCCAAGGGCGATAACGACGACAACTCAAAACGAGACTCGAGCTCCCCAGAGTCCGGCGAGGCCAGCTCAATTGGCTCTCCCGCTCCTGCCGATGCTCGCGACGACAATCCTACCTCTTCCACCGATGCACCACCTCTCCCCAACGAGGCACCACCCCTACCCGCCGGAGTTCCTCCAGCGACACAAGACGACGGCTGGGACTTCCAGTGGGATCCGACAGCCCAGGCGTACTACTTCTACAACCGCATCACGGGCGCGTCGCAATGGGACAACCCTCGCATACCTACAGCCGGCGGCGCAACACCAGCAGCAGCACCAGGAGCACCAGGCACAACCGCCTCCGCCTCCGCGACTCTCTCAGGCCCTCCTCCCCTCCCAAAGAACGACGCTCCCCCGGCCGGCGGCTACAACCCAGCCATCCACGGCGACTACGACCCGAACGCGTGGTACGCAAAGGGTAGCGCAGCCGACGAGGACGAAACGGCCCAGACGTCCGCCTCTGCGATCAACGGCGGCGAGTACGGCGCGATGGCGCAATTCAACCGCTTCACCGGCCAGTTCCAGACGCTGGACGACGGCCCCGACCGCCACACGGACGAGGCCAAGAGCCGGCGACAGATGAATGCCTTTTTCGACGTCGATGCCGCGGCCAACTCGCACAACGGAAGGAGTCTCAAGGCGGAGCGGAGCGGCAAGAAGCCCAGCAAGTCTGAGCTCAAGCAGTTCAAGGAGAAGCGAAGGGCCAAGAAGGAGGAGAAGCGGAGGGCTTGGCTGCGGGATTGAGGTATGAGGCGTGGGGCATTCTTTTCTTTTTTTTTTTCCTGGACTCTTTGGTCCTGATTTTTGCTGTTTTCAAAAAGGGTTGCCGTCGCGATCGCGACGTCTGGGGGAGAGGGTAAATATTCTTCATTCCGCGGCGTTCTGAAAGAAGGGGCCATCATCGGCGGGAAACGGGCAGAGAGGGAGACTTGGACTTCTCCTGATTGCCAACACGTCCCTCCGGCCTGTCATGGGATGGGGCTGGGCCAAACATACACTTTCATACAAAAAGACTTGACAGAATAAGTCGGGCTTCAATGGCCTTGGATACTGGACCTGTTCACACACAGTATCATGTACAAAATACTGGGCCTCGACCTGCGAAAACGTCGATAGGCCTTTGCTACAGCAAATCAAAACAAAAAAACAAATACCCAGATTACTCGAATTTTTTGTTCCATTCACCCAGAGAATTGTTCGTCTCCAGTGGGGGTATTATGTCCATCTAAATTGACAACAATATGAATCCTTTTTCTTGTCTTGTCCCCTGTCTCATTCATCCTCCTCCTCCTCTTCATCATCGTCCAGGTCCATGTTGAGGTGCACGCTTTCATCGTCGCTGTCGTCATCCGCTTCCTCGGCCGGCTTGGCGGCCACTGGTTCCGGCGCCGCAGCAGCCACAATCGTCTTTTCGACCTCCTTTCTCTCCACGCTCTGTCTCTTGGGCGGGCTCGGGGCGCCCGCGCCCTCGTCTTGGAGCTTGCGCTTCTGCGCCGAGGTGACGGCGAAAGGGTTGACGACCTCGGTCTTGATGGACGTGACGATGTCGCTGTCCTCGTCACCCGCAACGACAATGGTGCCGGCGGTAACGGTGGCATCCTTCATCTCTGCATCCTGCGCGTCGCCCGCGACCTGGATCTCGGCGAGAATCTCCTCGTCCTCGGCGTCCTTGGCTTCCTCCTCGGCTTCAAGCTCCTCAAGCGTGGCGGTGATGCCCTCGAGCGCGTCTGCGGGTGGTTGCGCGGGGGAGGTGCGGATGTTGGAGCGGAGGATCTCGACGCCTTGGTCGCGGGGGTACTGCTGCGCGAGGTAGGGCAGGATGCTGGGGAACATGGCGCCGCCCTGATTGGTGTAGGGGTTCAGGACGCTGGCGAGCATGGCGGCCTTGTTGCGCGACAGGATGGCCGTCTGATCGAGGAGGCCGCGGAGGCCCGGCTTGAGGTGTTGCTGGGGTAGGTGGGACAAGAGGCTGGCGAGGAGGGCGTCGGCGGCGACGATGTGGTCCTTTGCGATGAGGGTTTGTTTTGAGGACGAGGTGGTCGCGTCTGCGGCGTTGGCTTGCGTGGGGAGGAAGAGATCTGCGTTGGCGGCGATGGTGTTCTTCTTGGTGTCTGCTGCGGTCTTGTTGTTGGTTGCCGGCTTGACTTTTTGGATGTGGCCTGATTCTTGCTGGATATCTCTGCAGCAGGCGAGGGAGACGATGCCGAGGGTCTCGACGGTGAGCTTTTGCAGGCCCGGGCCGGCAATGGGGAGAGTCTCGTTGAGGAGCTTGTATGTCGCAGCGCGAACGGCGGGGATGTCGATGCCGGAGCGGAAGACGAGGATCATGTTGTCGTGTATCTCTGGGATGGTCGAAAGCGCGTTGTGTTCTAGCCTTTGCACCAGGACCAAGAGTAGTTCCAGAGCGGCGACGTGTATGTCGGGCATCGCGGCCCACAGCTCCTCCTTTTCTTCCCTTCCGACGGCAGCCTGTGTCTCGAGCGCCTGGTCCCAAGCTTGAGACTTGGAGTTACGGCTAATCAATGATACACGCGAGACCATATCCATGAGAGCTGCAATCGGAATCGTGACGGGAGTCTTGGTCGAGTAGCGGAGGGCGTCTGCCATGTATTGGAGCAAGCCAACGAGTCTGTCACGGCCAGCAGAAATTCCGGTCCAGTTGGGGAGCTGATCCCCCGTCTCCAAACCCTGCGGCGGAATATCAAAGTCCACCTTGGAGCGGGTGTACGCCGCCGAGGCTTCCCATGATTCCTGCACGGCGCGGAAGACCTGATCAGCGGTAAAATGGAAGTCCTTGCGCAGCTCGTCTACCAGCTTGGCCCAATCGTCGCTGGGTCCCGATTTGCCTGCCGTGGTGAGTGGTAGAGAGATGGCCAGATGTCTGCTTGCCCGGCGGAGAGACTGGGGGATCGTGGCTCCATCGGAAGAGGTGGGCGCCAAGTAGGGCTTGATGGCCGTTCTGATCTGGCCGTTGAAGGGGCGGCAGGTCGTCGGATACAGGGGAATCATGGCGGAGAAGGCGTCCAGAACAGTCTCAACGACAGCGAGCGGCGTCTTGAGGCGCTGGCCTAGGCCTGGGAGCTTGATCATCTGAAGACATGCGTTGAAGAAGGTCGGAATCGTAGGCGTGGCGATTTCTCTGGTGAGAGTTTGGTAGCTGTTGATGAGACTGTAAATGCGCACGAGGGTGACAATGGCAATCTCCTTGACCGGGAATGGGTCGCTCTTCTACAATGCAGTGTTAGTATTCATATTGGGAGACAGATATCGGGACCTTGCTTACCTGAAGCATTCCCAAAAGCCCTCGAACCCAATTGCCAGACTCCTTAAGACATTCCCAGCCACCAACATCAACGACAGCCTTGACGAGAGTTGCGCCGGTGAAGCGGCCCATGGCACTCTTGCCATTGAGCAAAGTCGTGATAATGGTCCTCAGCTTATGAACCAAACTTGAGACCTCGGACGAGACTTTAGGGTCATGGGGCGCAGACAAGACATCTTTGCAACGAAGGACGTGATTGATGAAGGCCGGGATTGAGTGAGGAAGTTGAGCCGGTGGTGTGGTTGTCAACTTGCGGCATAGGACCTTGAGGTCTGGGGGAAGAGAAAGAGACATTTCTTCGCGCGGTTCTGGTTGGATGATATAAGATAACAACCCAATTGGAAGCCCGCCTTTGTGATTGAGGTGCCGTAGTGAGAGGGAACTGGCAATATCTCGGATCACAGCCCAAGAATTCACCTGCCGTTGATGCTGAATGAAACTTTTTTCTGTAAGTGAAGGTACGTATCGAATGTATCCTCCCCATCGATGAGCAACGTTGAGTTTGATTGGTCATAGTCGATCCACCATCACACCCCTACAAGGCGGTCGAGTCCAATCTTCAGATGCCATCCTGGAAGAAGTAGCTGGGCCAGGACACCGCCCGGTGGCCGACTGGCCCGTGCTCCCCAAAATGTCAATTAAGGGACCTGATTATGCTGGTGTTGGTGGGATTTGGTGCTCTGTCCTGCTCTTCTGTTCACAAGCTTGTGCTGCAGCAAGGACTTTTCTGCCAGTCAACGTGCCTACCTTGCGCAGTACCTTGATTTCCTGGGCTTTGGTGGCAGTCGCACTGCCAAACAAGCGGGCGTGTCCATCGCATCGCTCCAATCACTTACGCAACGTGCCTTCTCCTAATTAAGCCATTCTTGGGTACCAAACATCGCCAACCCACCCTACCCCCTAGGATATCTTCAACAAAACAATGCAGCGGGCTCAAATGCGCTGCTAGTAGGATTGCTTTGCACTTCTGTCCCATCACTGGCACAGGCTTCAGTATCGCGAAATGGCTGTGAGTGCTTCTTTGTCCCTTCTCTAGGTCTCCAGGGGCTGCTGTCTAAACATCCCCTGGCTTTGACCCCAAATGACGTCGAGACCTTGGAGCTGACTGAGTGTTTCTTCTTCCCTCTTCGTAGCCCGATCCGAACAAGGCCGCCCACTACATCAAGGCCCTTGACGATGCCCGGTGCGAGGGCAATTGGAGCGCCGTCCCCGAGTTCGTACGCAAAATCAGGAAACATGCGCCTGACCGAGCCTGTCCGTTGCCTCGAAACAAGCACGCAAACGCCGCGATACCCTCCTTACTGACACCGAGTCCCCTCTAGGTCTGACTTTGGCCGCTGAGACGGAATGCGCCATCGCAAAAGCCACCGACCCTTCTGGTGCCGGACGACCTTCCACCTCTGTGTCCGCCAAGGATCTCGATGCCGATAACGTTCAATCAAAGCTTCAGGCCGCCATAGACGGGGAAACAAGTCACTCAGAAGACAAATTTCAGGCTCAAGTCTGCGCCGGACTGTTGCATTGGGTGGTTGGAGAGGTCGATCAGGCAGCGGTCAAGCTACCTCGGAACATTGAGGAGGAACTGAGCACCGCCGACAAGTCGGAATGGACCAATATCAGCGCTTTGAAGGCCGCCGTCATCAAGGCGAACTGCCTTGCCCGTACCCAAAAGACAGCCGAAGCTCTCTCCGTTTTCGATTCCGTACTGCCATCCGTATCCATGGCTCCGAGTTCACGAACCGCCCACAAGCAATTCAAAGTCTGGTCTGAACTGTTTCTGACTGAGTACTGTGTGCTTCAAAGCGACGCCCTCCGTTCGAACGAGAGGTCACTTGCAGACCCTAACTCGGTCGCCTGCTTCCGATCTTGGGCTAGGTACTGGGAGTCGATGACAGGGCCGGTCACGGGGGGGTATGGTTACAGGGGCTCGGTGCCGAGACGACAGGTGTGGCTCGAGTACTATTTGGCGTTGTCAACGATCATTGAGCTTGACATTCCATTCCCAACAGGATTCCTCGGCAAAATCACAAACGAGGCTTCATCCACGCGAAACCAGCTGAGGATCGAGCTGAAGAAGACCGAGGCTGCTTACGAGGCGCTCCTCATTAGCGAAACCAGCTTTCCCCGTGCCGACGAGACGAGAGAAGAAGTCGAATCCTTTATCAAGGCTGTTGTCAGGAATTGGTCCATTCTTTGTGGTCGCGGTTGGGCCGAAAAGGACCTAGGTCAGGGTGGTCGCGAGAGCCTCAGCAGAGGTGTTCTCGACACTCTGTATGCCGCAGCGACCAAGACGTACCACTCAACCGCAATCCTACGATGTCTCTTCACTGTTCACCTGGCTGTGGCGGAGTTCGACCTGGCCTTCAAGGCCTTTGACTCATACCTCGATCTTGTCAGACACGGCAAGGCCAGGGTGGACAAAACCGGCCACTTGGAGTCCAACCTCGACGACGACGGCACTGTTCTTGAAACCATGTCACAATGCATCTTGGCGCTTTGCCGCTACGGTGGAAGAGAAGCCATCGATAAAGCCCGTGTTATTGGCAATGAGCTAGAGGACTGGTTATCCAGGCTACCGCAGCTGAGAAATGGCATTGAAAGTGAGAACACTGTTCCGGAAGAGGATGAAGCGACTACCCTTCATCCCAAGATTCGGCCTCACCTGATTGCATTGTCTTGGCAGGCAATCGGCCTTTCCCAAGCCCAGTGGTCAAGAACAACATACGACGCGGCATCTCGAACTGAGATTCAGACAAAGGCGATCAGATGCTTAAGGAAATCCTTGTCTCCGGAACTCGGTCGTACTCGGGATGTTCGCAGTCTTTTTGCTCTTGGCCTGTTACTCGCCGAGCGTCGAGATTTGACCCCGGCGATTGACATTGTCAAGACGGCACTCATCTCCAACAAGTCTGCTGACGAAGAGCAAGATCTATACCACGGCGCGTACTGGCAGGAGCGTTCTCTGATTCCGCTATGGCATCTTTTGGCACTCTTATTGAGCGCAAGACAGGATTACAACATGGCAGCCAAGGCTTGCGATGGAGCTTTCGAGCAGTTTGGCGACCCCTCAGTCCTATTCGGAAGACAGGATATCCACTTCAAGAGCGAACACCTTAACGAGGCCGAAGCTCAGGACGAAAAGATTGCGAATGAACGGAAGGGAGTAGTGGACGACATGGATGATACCGAAAAGGAGAGTGTCCTCGAGGCCAAGATGACACAAATCGCCATCATTGAGTTGCTTGAAGGACCAGACATTGCCGTTAACGCCTGCCCTGAGCTACTGTCTCTCTTCACAAGGCTATTCGGAAGCCTCGAGGCCAAGCCAACTTTGCAACCACCCAAGGCTGTTGACACAATACAGGTGCCAAAGAGCTCGGCTGGCACGCTGAGAAGTATAAAGGGAAGCTTCTTCGGCTCTACACGAACGCGGCAACCCAGTATAGCCGAAACGGAGAAAACAGTCACGCCTTCCCGCCCCCAGACCTCACAAACACAAGCCAGCGTTGCAGCCCCGACAATACAAGTCACCCAAGAAAACGGATCACCAACAGAGACGCGAACGCGGCGTCTTTCCAGTCTGACGCGCCGATCGAGAAGTGAATCGGGCAAAAGACACAGCTTGCGCAAGCGAGATAGCAGCAGCGGTCGCAAGAGGACAGCAAGTGTCAGCAGCGCAGGCACCAATCCACACGGACCGACGGTGGTTGACGGAGAGGTCTTCTTCACCCCAGCCGACGAACTGCAGCAGTCCGAGTTCTTCCCTCTCACAGGCAACCGTCAGGCTTCAATGGCATCTTCTGTTTCACGAGGACGTTCACTCCATCACTTGGAGTCTTACACCTCCCAGAAATCACGATCAACAAATTTCTCCGAAATCTCTGCCAGTGGCACTTACACCATATCAAACCCGTTGCCGCTGATCCACTTCCCCCAGGACATGGAGCGGAGGCAAAGAGCTGTGCTGCTGGTCAAGGTGTGGTTAATGATTGCGGGATTCTATCGTCGAGCCAACATGTTTGAGGACAGCAAGGGAGCCATCTCAGAAGCGCAGAAGCTTGTAGGGATACTCGAGGCTGAAGTAGCCAAGGATCCTACGGGCTCTCTGTCAATGAGGGGCAACAGCTGGGCCGAGAAGAAGGGCGTCGACGAGCTGCTCGGAGACGTTTGGGCGGAGGTGAGCTATAGGCTTGATCATGTGCAAATTGACTCAACTGACAACTTGTATAGCTCGGCTATCTTTCTTTGGCAAAGGGCGCACCCTACTTGGCCCGGTCAGACTTCGAGATGGCACTCACCCATTACCCCAATCACCCAGCAGCCATCGTCGGCCTGTCCGATATTTTGCTCGACATTTACAGCGAGAAAGTCCTGCCACCGCCGGCCATTCCCACACTCAGTGTGCCGGAGAACGTCTCTAGCCTTTCGCTGCCGCCACCCAATCTCCCAAAGATTGCTGTCCCCCAGCACGGTCTCCCGTCAGAACCACTGGGTCTGGGCTCCGGCGGGTTGGGCGTAGGCCCCGCCGGCAAGACAAGCGGTCACCAATCCGCGACGACGGCATCGTCGGTCAAGTCGGTAGAGAGGTCCGAGTCGGACGACAAGCTGCCGGCGCCGTACAAGGCGACCTCGGTGCCGACCATTGACCGCCTCGCCGCTCGAGACCGCGCGTACGGTCTCCTGTCTTCCCTGACGAAGCTCGGCAGCGCGTGGAATAACGCAGAGGCCTGGTTCGCACTGGCCCGGGCTCACGAGGAGAGCGGGCAGGTGGACAAGGCAAAGGAGGTGCTGTGGTGGTGCGTCGAGCTGGAGGAGAGCACCGGCGTGCGCGAGTGGCAATGTCTCGGAAGCGGTGGTTACGTGCTCTGAGTAATAATTATATAACTACATTTCTATCCTGGCCTGGGTCTTTTTTTGTGAATTTGATTGCCGTCGGCTTGGTACCTATCATTGTCGAGTCAAACCTGACGGGTAATTGTGATGTCTCCCAAAACTATCTCCCGACACTAGAGTCGATATCTTCGTGGCACAGTTACGAATACGTACAAACGAACCGTCCTGCTCGAGCTTCTCAACCGCTGCCGCTCTTCTCCACGTCAACTAGGTGCACCAGGTCATCCTTCCAATCCTCACATGTCACACTCTGTTCCTGCCTAGTAGAAGAACGAGGACCCCCAGACCCTCCCGTCCATCGCTTTTCCTGGACGGTAGAATAGCCGGGTTTACGCTTATTCAAGCAAACAAATAAGATAACAAAGTCAACAAGTCGGGTCGTCCTCTGACTCTGTCCATACCTTTACAGAAGCATTCCAGAGGCGTCTGTCTGTCTTGAGGTGGCTTGCAGGACCGGCATGCGGGCCGTGCCACGCGCGTGGGCCACCTGCGAACTCTCATCTGTAGGGACTCCCGTAATGTGTATATATATGTATGTGCGTGTGTGGCTTGCCGTAACCACTTCTCCGCAGCCCTGGGAAAACGCCCCGGAAAAGCTCGAAAAACTCAAAGCGTGAAAAGGCTCAAGGTGAACTCGAAGAGACGGGAACACAGTATTCCATTCGAGTAGGCGTCTCACTGCCCGAGACAGACTCGAGATGGCGTGTGGATAACGAATTTGATCAAACTCGAATGAACATTCTCACATCCAAAAGTTTCGACATAATTAGTAGACCAATGTATATCCGTAATGATCCGTCGTCTTACTCGTTTCCCTACTCTGTGCGGAAGCCGCACAGCGTATTTACTGCATTTGTCTAATTGCAGTGAGCAGTCGCATCCTGCAGGGATCGTACCTCAAAAGAAAGTTTGAAACTGCGTCTCTCATAATTCAAGTAGAGTGCCTTGCCACAAAGCTTCAGACGTGGGGGTCATTTGACAGACTCAAGGCCTAGGAAGCAATGAGTATCGATAATTAACGCAACTATGCTCCGGCAGGCGGCACACTTCGGAATTCACTTGTCCACCGCACGGTTGTAGTTGTCTCAACGGTTCGTTCAAAGTTAATGACCTATGCCTTACATGACTCATTTCTTGAGCTATCTGGTTCCATTTCCCTGCAGGACCAAGGTGACCTCCAAACGCCAAGCCAAATCCTATGCTACCAAGTTCCTGTAATGTAACAGACTTTACGGCAGTGCCGTTATGTCGTCCCAGATCCATCGCGATGCATTGATGCTGCGATGAGAGGGCTTCTTGACAGCTGGAGAGCTATCACCATGCCATCAGGCTAGGCGGCAAGTTCGGGTACTCCTTTCCATCAATGGTCTCTGAGCCAAATGGGTATTGCGGATCCGTCGCGCCTTCTTCATTCTCTCCGCCATCGCTTTCTGTCTCAAGCTCCTCAACACCATCAAGACCTCTCTTCCACTTGGCCTTACAATTACCGGGAACGTATTTGGCTGCGTCCATAGCCAGCGTAAGCTTGACCTCGGGACAGTAATCCCAAATGTGTTTTCGTAGAGCTGGAGTACCCCAGATGGCGCTGTGCAGCCAGATACCACTACCACCGGTGTGATAGCCCATGGGCTCGTAAAAGCCCTCGCGGTAATCGTCAATGCCTGAGACAAGTTCACCCTCTGCCGCAGCCTCGAGTGTCGCGTTCGCTCCTCCTTTGTTGATCTTTGTGCCTTCGCCCGAGTGCATCTCACCGCTGAACGTCAATGATACAGTTCCGTTAGCGACCTTGCTTCCAGGTCGGTGAGCAAGGCGCTCAGCGAGCCAGACGTCCTCAGGTTCAGATCCGTCAACACGCTTCTGGTTTCGGAGGATATCAATCATGGCGCTGACACGACGGATGGAGAGGCCACCGTTGCCACCCCACCTGCCGCCAGGGTTCCAAGGGGCTCCAATCCAATCATACTCGAGGTAGTCGTTGATGTTCTGCTTACTGTTGGCGCAGAGAATGCTGTCGGTCTGGAATACGAGGAGCCACTCGGCAGGCTGCAGGACGGTCTCGTACAGCCACAGGTTGGTCAAGAACCGACTAATCATCTCCTGACCAGCCGTGCTCATGTTGGAGGGAATGTACGTCAGGTCGAGCTTGCCGGCGGCGACTTGTTCACGAATCGCAACGGACGAGTTGATAGACTTGACGGACTCAACAGAGCCCATGAAGCGAAAGCGCCAGTCGGGAGGCACTACGGAAATGAAGTGCAGCATCAATGGCGCAAGAATCGGGTTGGCGCGGTTCTCGACGAGAAGAGCGACTTTGGAATGGTTATAGGGTGAATGTGCGTATTCAAGGGAGATTTGCGGTACGGTCATCGTCTTGAGGGTGGGCAGCGATAGCCATATTGAGAAACCACTAATACGATACGGTCAGTACGAGCCAACATTACAAGGAGCCAAGCAGGAGTTTCTGGGGTCATTGGCTTACAGGAAGAGGACGAAAGCGCCAAAGACTCTCATGCGGCGGCTCGTCAAGGCCCAAACCGAGAGAAGCAGGGCCTTGGTATGCTGCCAGACGTCTGTCATGCTCTTCTCGCCGCTGACAGCAGGCCGCGGTAGCGAGGCCATGGTTGGGACGAGAAGGCCACGAAATGGCAGAAAAGGCCTAGGTGGGCGTTGAAGATGGAGACAGAGAGCGGTTGTAGTGAAAAGCGATTTCAGGGAGATTTCAAGTCGCAGAGGCTACTCAAGCCTGGAGCGGCTTCGAGAGCGGGCGTTTACTCGCGAGTCGCAGATCCGTCCGGTCCACAGAGATTACGCAAGTGTCGATGGCGTGGATGCGTCGGTAGCGTTGCAGGGGAATTAAGGCATGTCCGGTCCTGCGGCTGGTGACGACGACGACAGCAGCTGACTCTTGTCGAATAGACGAGCTACTCGCGCGGTCGACTGGTCGTAGCCCGAATGGTGAATTCGGTGCGTGCGATGAACAGAAGATGTGAGGTTCAGAAGTGAAGGGGAGAGGAGAGAGAGGGAGGAAACAAGAAAAAGACAAGAGGATGAAGGGAAGGAGTGATGGGGAACTATGGGAAGGTACGATTTGCACATGCACCACTACCCTGAGGAAGGTACGAATAATGATATGGTGTGTGGCAGCTCCTCCCTCGACAGCGACTAAGGACGCAACGAGGGACGGATGGAATTATCTGATGAAAAGACAGGACGCCCCTTGCCTTTGCCTTCAATTCCCAGGGCGAAGGCTGCTTGCTGCTCTAGTGTAGACTATAGTGTAAGGTAGCCTGCTGCTTCCATGCTCATTCACTTTCCCTCCACTCCTCCGGACCCTTCCCCCCCCCCCTTTCCTTGGCAGGTGTCCACGCCAGCCCGGGGCCGGACGGGGAAAAAAAGACCAGCGCGAGAAACTGGAGACCTCTGGGAGAGATGTGGCAGCGGATTCCAATCAACAGGCCAGGCCCTGGGTCGTGGAAGTTTCAAGCAAAGGGAAGCCAATGAGGTGTTCTAGTGAGCTGCTTTGGGGCCAGCGTCTCCAAAAGCAACATTGGAGCCCCCCCCGGTGGCCGCGTCGATGAATCTTGCCGGCTTCCCTTGCTGCCCACGTCGCCGTCCGTAGCCCAGCCCTTGTCAAACCGCGCAATGCAGCCAGCCACTGTTGCAGTGTCTAATTTGGGTCGAGTATCCGGCATGTACCTCCAAGTACCTTTTCCCTTCTCTCACCTCCACCGGGCACGTTCGATTCGATGGTCGGGTGCGATAGCGATGGCGACTGGTAATCCTGGCAAGCAATCAGGGAGCCTGATCGTCCAGCTGTCAGTCTGTCTGTCTCCAGGCCACACCATCAGGCGCTCGCCCGGCCATGAGTACACATATACCGATACATCCCTCTTTTCTCCATCCCAAGAGGCAATCTGGAGGGACGGACACGGAACGTCACGCCACCATCGTCCCTCCCTCCCATTCTGACCTGCATGTAACAGCGAGGACGATACTTGGACACGAAGCGCCACAGCAAGTTGCAAGTCAGCGTCAGCTTTCCCTCACGAGAATGAAGCGGCTAAACTATAGTCTGAACTCCATACCCATGAGGAAATCGGGACAAACGGGCACTTTCGTCCCATGATGTTACGGATGCCCTGATTCAAGAACCGAGCTCGAGGATATTTACAGCCTCATCCCAGCCAAGAGTTCCCCATGCCCGAACAAAGCGACCCCAACCTAGGGGGTACCATGCCCAGCCATTTCGTGCAGCGCAACCAACAATCACCACCCCGAGCCGGTCTCTCGGTATCGCCGGCCGTGACACCCATAATCCGGCTGCATTAAAGACCAGGGTTGGACCCAAGGCGCCCAATGGGACGGTAGTCGGTACGTTGTAGAGTATACCGTAGCACCCAAGCAGGCAGGCAGGCCAGCTTCGGATCAGTTGCTAGTGAATAACCAGTTCATGGCCAAGCGAACTGTCGCAAAGGGGCAGCCTCGCACCAAGTAGTGATTCCGTAATAGTCTGAGTACCTTATTATCGAAGAAAGTTAATTCTTTCTAAGTCATAAGTACAAGAATATAGTTTTAATAAAATAGTATAGTACTTACTTAGTACTTAAATTAAAATACTTTTTTAAGCTTATTATAAAAAAAATAACTATATTACTAATTATTTATTATCGAAGTCTATAAGTAGTATTATAGCTTTAATTATAATAATTTTACTTATAATAAATAAAAAGTCTAATTATAAGTTTTTTAAAAACCTTTAATTAAGAGCTATAAAAGCTTTTAAATTAAATTAAAATACTTACTAAAATACTAATAACTAAACTAATTTTATAATAACGACTTTAATAAAATACTTAGTAAATAACGTTAAAATCTTTATTAATAATAAGTATAATTTATAAAATATAATAATATAGTTATAAAGTATTATTAATATATCTTATATTAAAAAGGGTATTATTAATACTAATAAAACGGATAGGGCCGTATTAATATAGTACCTCGGTTTCTTTTTATAACTCGAAAATAATTATTTTAAATAATATTAAAAGTTTATTAAAAAGCTTTTTTAAATACTCTAATATATTTATTATTATTTTTATAATAATAAGACTTTTAATACTTATATATAAGAATAAGTTATTTATTTTTAAATAGTAATATTAGTTTATTAATAAGCTATTAAAACTACGATTTTAGCGATTTTTTAATAAGGGAGAGGGTAGAATAGAGGAAAGGATAAGTAAAAAAAGGGTTAAGGTTGAACAGTACGGAATTCGAGGGCAGGGTAGCGTCTATATATACTGCGGTAATCCTTTAGTAATGCAAAACGATGGAGTTAAACAGTGGATTCCGTGATAGTCTCTTTCCGAATTCAACCGTCCAACGTCGATTTAATCTCAACTCCTCGCCACGGAGAATATTATGTAAGGGCGCACAAGGGAGACCGCGCAAGCCCCATGTCTCAAGTTTCGAAAAGCATCGATACGACGACTGACTTCCACTTAAACTTTGCTGCAACGAAAGCATGTTGACGGTTGGAACGGCGTACAGTGCTCGTACGGATGCACCGTGATACCTACAATAGTACTGGTGGCAGTCAGCTTAACCCGCCACAGTCAACTTGTTCCTCACATGCACGACAATCGGACTGGGACCAGTGACATTCTGTGAGAGACTAGAGACGAGAGGTTGTGGATAAGCGAGCGACTGTGCTGCTTTCCGCCGCTTCGCCGCACGCATGCATGTACGATGCCCTGTCAGCCTGTAAGCAGTATCCGTATGATTGCCTATTGCCGACAAACATGGAAGCTTTCTCAAGTCTGTAGCGGCACAGCCCAATGCAGGGCTCGGTCCATGGTCCCTGCTGAGCATCCTCAGGGCTTACTTGGACTTGGGGCTAGCCTTGTCCAAGCAAGAACGAAGAGAATGAAATAGGCTTCGTTTTCAAGGTTCAACTTTCATATTACACCTGACACAGTTGTCTTGTGCGGTCGCATTCTTGTTGTCGCACGCGAGGAACGCGAGGGGCGGGGCGGGCGCAAATGAGTCTTGGACGAGGCGACTCATTAAAAAAGAGACTCAGTTCTCTCGAGAAGAAGAAATATCGCTCTCACTCCCGAGTGCTGACCACGGCGTTCCTTTTCCCCACATCGCGGAAATAATAAACCTGCGCAATCTGGTAATCAAATTGTACGTTGGGCTGGGTGACAGCATGGTCGTTCTTTGCAAGTAATCAAAGACTGACAGCGTGCTCGGAAATGATCTTGTCGCTGACGGGCATGCCGTCTGTATCCGTACGTCATCTGGAGTTATCAGAGAGCCGTGCGCCAGAAGATGGGGGTTAGTTGTTTAGGTATGCAGTGTAGTCGAGTAGTGATGGTTCTCAGCACGGCAGAAGTTTGGGCGATAGGTGGTAGGATTGGCGAACAGGTGCAACACGAGATGAAGCTCTCCTTGATGGCGAAAGAACCCAATGGTAGGATGGATGCAGTCAAGGTTGATACCTACTGCGTATATGTTGGGTTGGTGGCGGTAATGCACTTTGAACCTTGTCGTGTTCGAGACGACGAGCATCTCGGCCGGAAGACGAGACCGAATGGCAGCTTGCAGTTGCCAGTGAAGAAGAAAGGAGGAAGGAGCTGTGCAGTCTCTCCCAGATCGTGTGGTTGACTTCGGGACTTCAGACTTCCTGTGCAAATGGAAGGGAGGAACCCAGGCAATGTGGGTCTAGCGGGAGGAGCCCTTCCCTGCCTCCACTGGCTGCATGCCACCACCCAAAGAAGAAGGAAATGGGAAATGGAAGTGGAGGTCGACGTGTAGAAGACGGTACATCCGAGTACCTGCCCGTCACTTGTACCTTCCGTCGTCTCCCTGCGCCCATGTGCTGGCTGTTCCAGTGTGGGCTTGCCTTGCAGACTGCGGCAAGGTAACTTGAACCTCAGGCTTGACCTCTCGTCGAATTCTATCACCTCAGTCTACCCGTACGGATACCTACAGGCTACTGCGTAAGGTAAGGCCCCCACTTCCTCCCACATCTTCCGCCAAGCGTCTCTCTAACTCTCTCACTTTTGGCTCCAGCTTCTGCTTCCAGCCTCTGCTTCCAGCGGGCGGTCGACCGTCTATCGACATTGGGATCGGTTGATTGAAGCCAGGTTTCCCCCCTCTTTCCCGGCATCCATTCCAGGACCCTGCACCTAGTCACCTAGTCACCTAGTAGAAAGAGTGGGATTTCGGTGACATTCGACTCTTGCTCTATGTACATAGTAGTGAACCACCACCCACTGCCACCAGTGAGCGCCGTTCCGCAAGCCTGCAGACGCGATTCGTCATCTAACAAACTTCGCCGTCCTCTCTATCTCTGGACTATCGAGCGGCCCGCGAACCCCTTGTATTTCGTTTTTCGTTTTTCCCTCGCAGCCTCTCTTCTCTCCCTTGGACCACGGAAGACACTTGTCTCTTCTTGCTGCTGCTTACTGCACTGCACCTCAACTCCAAGACCAACCGCACCGGCCGAGTCTCGAGTCCCTGAGAATTCCTCGCCAGCGCCCTTGGAAAGCTGAATCACTACCAAGAGTTCCGCCTGTCCACAACGGCCGCAACACACGAAACCAAGTCCATATTGGCATTCAGTCTCGGCGGTTTCAACACGTGGTCGACATGACGCGCCTCTAACCAGCAACTTTCAGTCAAGTCAGAGAATTCTCGAATTTCCAGCTTCCGATTGCCTCGATTCTTTTCTACAACCGATTCTAATCCATCACTGCGACACCGTCCCTGACGCCGTCCCATTCTCTCGTTTGCGCCCTGCTCTTGCTGCGCCGTTCCTGGACGTTCACATTTCAGCGACATGGGGGCCACGAACGGTTCTTCCGGCGTATTCGCCATCACAAAGACACGACTTTTGCTAGTTGCGTCGCTGGCCATTACGTTCGTCTTTCCCGTCGCAAACTTACCTGAAGACTCACTGGCGAATGCCATGCTGACCACGTTTGCAGATGGTGGTTTGCTCATCTCTTGCCGAGCTACAAGCCTATGATCAAGGCCGAGTTCAAGTCGAGATTGGATGAGGCTCGTCAGAAGATGCCCAAGATCAAGGTTGACTGGAAACCCGACCTGAGCAAAGACCCGAGATCCAACTACAATGCATCCAAGTTAGCATTGATCATCGAGCCGCGCCCTATTCCGCATCTCGTACCCCAGCTATTGCACATGACCTCGGTGGTGCCTCCCGATTGGAGATTCCTATTCATCGGCTCCAACAAGAGCGTTGTCAGCGTCGCCCGAAGCTACGGCATCAAGCACCAGCAGGTTATTGGGAAGCTCGACTTGATGGTCCTCCCTGAGCCGTGGGAGATTGACACCAAAGAACACGTCTTTCGCCTGTTGACCGACATTCGCTTTTACGAAGAATTCCTCCCCGGTGTGGAATGGATCCTCAAGTTCGAATCCGACAGTATCCTCTGCTCCAACTCACCGACCAGTCTCAACGAGTGGCTCGACTGGAGTTGGGCTGGCGCACCCAAGTAGGTCCCCCTCGAAAGTTCTCCCTCGCGGCCCTCATCCCTTGCTAACCCCCGCTCGCAGGACCCCTGATGATCGCTTCTCCGGCAATGGCGGACTCTCTCTTCGACGAGTCTCGTCCATCAAAAGAGTGTTGCAATTTCAGGAGAGATACAATGACACGGAAGCCGAGGACGAATGGTACGGGAAGCGACTCTGGGTCATGCAGGGCGAAAAGGTAGCCCACGGCAGAAAGGGTGTTCTGGCTGTGGAAGACGTCTACATGGAGAAGCCCATGGGATATCACGTCAAGGATGGGGGTCAGGGAATTTCCGACAAGGTGTGGAAGAATCCCACGCAACGGAAAAAGATTTTCGACTACTGCCCTGAGCTCAGCTTGATCATGGATATGAAGTTGGAGCGCGAGCGCTGCGAGGGCGACAACAAAGAAGGCAGCATCGGCCCAACGGACGAAGAGAAAGAAAAAGCCGCTGAAGAGGCCAAGAAGCAAGCCGAAGAAGCTGCCAAGAAGCAGGAAGAAGAGGAAGAGCGCCGGAAAAAGGAAGGCGAAGAAGAGAAGCAAAGACAAGCCGAAGAAGAGCGCAAGAAAGCTGAGCAGGGCGCAGGAGTCACCAAGGCAGATATCGATGAGCTCCTCAGCGAAGACGACATGCTCAAACTCGACTACGGTGCTGGCGGCAGTGGCGCCTCAGGGTCCAGCTCAGCAAATGCCGATGATGCCGACGCAAAGGCCAAGGCGATGGCTGCTGCAGCGCAAGCAAAGGCCGCCGAGAAGGCTCAGAACGCCTAAGCCTAATAGTCGACCGATGAGAAGACTGGTGTACACCACCAAAAGCGTGTCCGGGTTCCTAACGGGTCTCGGCAACCTGAACTGACAATCAACTCTCGGCTCTTGGCGTGCCGAGCCTCATAGTTTGAGGACGTTGAGCATCTAGTTCGGTACGATAACAAGCAATGCTGAGAAGAGGGCGTTCGAGCTGTTGTGGCGAAGAGCGAGTTGAAGGCAAAGTCCATGGCCAGATGAACGGAGGACAGCCCGTATCGTAGGGTTGTGGCGTTTGGCAATGACCGAGAATACCGCAAACAGCCATGCGGAGAAGACGTACTTGCCTTTTCCAACGACGTCACCTGTAAGAACAACGAATGGTCCGATAATGGACTTGATAGGTATACCAATTCCGGAGGGGGAGGGGTGTGGCGTCGGGGCGTACTGGAGTTATGAACAGCCCAACCTTATCCAACAAAGTCGCAGCCGGAATGTCGGCACGTCAGTCAGCGCAGATCATGAAGCTGATGTGGAATGCTGTTGGGTACAAGACAGCAATCAAATGATATTTCATTAGCACAACAAATCTGCTTGCGAGTGGACCATCACACGATCCGAGAAGCAGTGTCTCCGTGATATGCTACACAAACGCACCAGCCGATGACTATTCTACTTTACCCAGTCCCACGCCCGTGGTTCACCTGGGCTCGGCTGGCACCGCTGGTTCCCGATTCTGGGGATTAACTTGGAAGCAAACTTTTGGGTTCGGATCGATCTGGTCCAGTGACGATGTACGATGTCTTGTGGTGGGGATGTGCACGATTGACTTGATCTTCCTGCATGCTGCATCTGCAAGGCTTTGTTCGCTTCCGTCCGGCGGCGTCGAGTTTAGATGATGTTCAAAGTTTCTTCATCTACAATTGTCCATGATTGTCAAAGCTTTGCTTGTGATACCAAGCTGCCGGATCGTCTCTATGCGTCTGTTCTGACCTAAAGTACATGGCTTACCTACCTAGGTAGTACTCTACTCTAGTATTCTATGCTTCCATGCTTCCGTGCTCTGCTTTAAGTACTACCACGCTCATTCTTCGAGCTGCTAATGTGTTTAGGGGGGGCAAGCTGTCAATGCCAAGAGCACATGGCCTCGAGGTCAGAGTGTCAGTGAAAGGAGCTTGAACCAAACAATGGGACACACTTTGGGGCCAGATGGGCTAGATACTAGATTACAAGGAGAAAACTCCACCAAAACCTGGCAAAGGCCTGGCCAAGAAGTTACCAAAATGGTCAAGATGGTCGTGTGTCAGGGGGGACGGGCTCACCTGCGGTGGTGCAGCAATGCCAAGGGTCTAGGTTTCCCCACGTTGCAGTGCTCTCACCCTCACCCTCTCTCTCTCTCTCTCCTCGGAGAAGCCAAGGGTTTTACGAGCGTAGACTTGTCTACTATTCGCAGAGACCGAAAGAGTAGATGAGTACTACCTTACGCTAGGAGAGAAAGAAGAGAGTGGAGGGTGAGGGAGAGGCTCAGCATAGAGGCTATGGAAGGAATGAAAGATGGGATCGGCCGGGAACCCGCCCTGCCCCGTCCGCATCCGTCCAAAATTTCTATTTTCCTCTCCGATCTTGTGAGAGCGAAGAACCAAAGTTTCTTGTCTTGGCCCAGTTCGTCCGAAGACGCTACTGTCAGGCACCAAGACCGTCTTCGAACTAGAACCCCCCTGCTAGCCATGCCTCTTCCCACAGCGTGTGGACGTTCTCGACCCTGAAATCATGGGATGGAATGGGCGTGGAATTGGAGCGGGTGCTTGTCTTGCATCTAACTTTTTCTCGATTTCGTTCACACAAACCAGCCAAAGTCCACACGCATATATACGACAAGCACGCACACGCACGCACGAGATCGGTTCTCTGAAGCGAAAGAAAAGCGCCACCCCGGCTTTCCCAGGAGCGGCAGGGCTTGTCTCTGTTCTTATCCGTACCGGTCCTGGCTGACTTTCTTTCTTCGCCCGGCGAGATCTGGGTTAGGCTGTGGTCCTCGGATCTGTGATCCAAAGATGTTTGCCCGCAGCGTGGCATTCTGTCCCATAATCCATCGGACCATCACACAACTCGAGGCAGAAACCCCATGGGTGATGGAGCGAGAGAGTGAGGTATAGGTATTCCCGTCGGTGCGTCTCCGTCAAGCCACTTGGCGTTGCTACGGCGTCCCACATCTGCTCGACGGTCCGTCAAAGTCGCAACCGGTGGCTTGTTCCGTCTGCTAGCCCCGCCATGACCGCGTTGCTCTCGTGGGGTGTGCTGGCTGTGACTTGTGGTCTCGCCTTCGACCTTTCCGCCCATCTCGCCTCTCTCTCTCTCGTTTATCCGTACCTTTACGTCGGTTCGATCATGACCTCTATCCGTTTGTCCTTCTTGTCGGTTTTCTTCGCTGTCTTCGGCATGGTCTCACCCTAACAATCTTGCCCATCAAATCTTTTTTATCGGCCCCGAACTGGTGCCATCTTGGCGCCAGATGGACTTTTCTGTATAGCTAGGCAAGGAAGAAATGTGTGGGACGATGTGCGGAGTGAATCGAGGAACAAGCGCGCGTCATTGCCGTTCTCTATCTCTCTTTCTTTGCCCATTCTTACCGATTCCATTGAATCCATGATGTGGTTCTCTTTGCTACCCGTCCCGGACGGCGCGAGCTTGGAGGGGAGGGTCCCTTTCGACGCCACGCTAACTTTCCCGTACCCGGTAGACCTGCTCCCAAGCTAGCCCTCGCGATCCTCCAATTTCCATTGTGGTATTGCTCGGTCCTCCCCGTCGGATGGGGATTGGGGATGGGAGGGGTGTGGGGCGCGGGCGTGTAAGTGGTGTTGGTGTGTGTCTTTTTGCGGTCATCGCCAAATCTGGGCTATGCGAGAAGTCTCTCATGGAGAATGTCACTGCTGCCGTTTTCTACTGCGACATCGAACATGAACGCCTCCCCCCGGTCTTTCGTCTCCCCTGTATATAACACTGGGTACCGCACGGGTTCCTCATGATGTTTATTCTTTCTCGGTATCCCTCTATCAAGGTGCTTCAGTATCCTAATAAAGAAAGCCTAAGAGCACTCATTTATCTCTTAGGTTGTTTTCTCCGAGTTTGTTTGTTTTCCTTGAAGACAATCTTTTGAAGAGCAGTCGACTCTTACGACTTACATCAACCTAAATCACCGGGTCTCTTAGTAATATCTTTCTTTTCCATTTTTTCAGTAACAACTTGAGTCATCATGCGTTGGACTCCTGTTGTACTAGCTACCCTTGCAGGGCTACAAGCAGCTCATGCTCACGATGAGGATGAAGTTCCTCACCCCAACATGGTATTGCCTCGTCTTCGCGATGTAGATGAGTTGAGACAGAGACGGAATGCTTTTGAGCCCTGGAACCCGCCGACGGTAGCCAACAAGCCACGCGCGGACCGCGTGAAACTCAGCCCTCGCCAGACGTCATCAATTCCGTTGGGAGACAACTCGCAGTGTGGAGGAACATATGGCAGGTGTGCGGATGGATACTGCTGTTCCGCATCTGGGTATGTTGCAACTGCCTCACTTTTGGTTCTTGACTAACAACGCAACTAGATGGTGTGGTCAGTCTGAGGAGTACTGCGCGTCCCCGGATTGCCAGATCAACTATGGTCCTGCATGTGACGGCAACGAGAAGCCTAATGGTCCGGATACTTCAAACTACGCAAGGCCAAAGAACGGTGATGTTCCCTATGGTGGCGTTGGCATCTACGCATGCGTCAACCAGGGTGATGTCGCCATCACATATGATGATGGCCCTTACATCTACACCGCTGCCATGTTGGATGCCTTCAAGGCTCATGGTGCCGTCGCTACTTGGTTCATCACGGGTAACAATATTGGTAAGGGCATGATCAATGTCAACTACCGCGATGTCATCACAGTAAGCCTCTCAGCTTAATTTTTTCATGATTCACCTATTCTGACCTCTTTCAGCGAATGATTGCAGATGGTCATCAGGTTGCTAGCCACACATGGTCCCACGAGAACCTGGATCAGATGACGCTTGCCCAGCGCAAGAACCAGATGGTCTACAATGAGATCGCCTTCATGGACATCCTCGGCTTCTTCCCTACCTACATGCGCCCGCCTTACTCCATCTGCGGAGCCGAGTGCCAGGGACAGATGGCCGACCTGGGCTACCACATCACCTACTTCGATCTCGACACCCAGGGTTACCTCCACACCCCCGCCGACCAGATTCAATTCAGCGTGAACCTCTGGGACCAGGCCATGCTGGCCCGCACGCCTTGCAACGGCAGCTACCTACACATCGAGCACGACATCCACCAGTACATCGCCACGACCCTGACGAACCACATCCTCGACTCCGTCGTCGCCAACGGCTGGAACGCCGTCACCGTCGGCACCTGCCTCGGCGACCCCCCAGAGAACTGGTACCGCGGCGCCGTCCCGGCCTACAACTTCAAGATCACCCCGGTCAGCTCAAAGGTCTGCTCCAGCACCTCCAGCTCGTCCAGCTCGACCAAGACATCTTCGTCCACCCGCACCTCGTCCGCGACCTCCACTTCGACAGCCGTCTCCACCAACGGCCAGTGCGGTTCCACTGTCGGCTTCACCTGCCAGGGCTCCGCCTACGGTAACTGCTGCTCCGGCGCCGGATGGTGCGGTTCCACCTCCGTCTATTGCGGCACGAGCTGCCAGTCCAAGTACGGCACCTGCGGAAGCTCAGCATCCAACACTACTTCTTCTTCGAGCAGTGGCACCTCATCAGGTAGGACCTCTTCCTCGTCCACCCGCAGCGGCACCAGCAGCAGCGGCAGCTCTTCTCGCACCGGCACGTCGAGCTCCAGCTCTCGCACTGGTACCAGCAGCAGCTCGTCTCGCACGGGTACTAGCAGCAGTTCATCTCGTACCGGCACCTCCAGCTCGTCCACTCGCAGCGGATCATCATCGTCGTCTAACACTCGCTCGTCCTCAGGTTCTTCCTCAGGCACCGGCACAGCGTCCGCCTCCAGCT